CGAAAGGGCAGAGGAGGGGAAACCCTCTCCGAATCCTTGTTCCACTTTAACAAACAAAAATCAGAGAAAAACCCAGAGGAAGAAGCATTTAGGCAGAATCCCACTTCTGTGTTTTCGAAGGGAGAACCCACTCAAACTCAGACCTTACCCTGAGGGGCGTGTCTGAAAAACAATCCTGCAGGTTTTGATTTCCAGAGACTTCGAGTTTAAAAACATCTCACAGAATCTAGATACGGTTCATAAGCATAAAACACAAAGTACAAAGGGAGCAATGGGAACAAACAACAAATCCGTTTATAGATCATCAAATCCAAACACTTAAAAACATGAACCAAAGAGGGAGCTGGCAAGCGCAGTACTCACAGCCATAATCAGCTCGAAGGGGTGTTTGTACACCCTCACGGGGGACTGGTACTTCTGCACCATGATTGTAATGGACCTGCAATCTTCTCACACCTGCAAAACACAAACGTGAAAATAGCCAGGACGGGGAAGACTCAGCCTGGATTTGTACGTCCCACCCACTCTAAGGGTAGGAAGGAACCACAACAGGTCCTAACTCCAAGCACACAGAAATCCAAGGTGACACCAAGGGCAGGGGAGGCAATGGACAGGGAGCGAGGGGGAGGGAAGCCCAAGTGGAACGAGGGGAACGGCCCTGGCCTGAGGCCCAAAGGCCTCTTCTGTAGCCGCCTTGCTGGGCCTTTCCCAGGGCAGCCCTGGGTTAGAGTCCTTTCCAGCAGTGAAACGTTACTATCTGATTATTCTGATAACAATACAAACAGCTCCTGAATCGTTTTCTCCTAGACAACTTCTACTAGAAGCCAAGTAAAAATGGTGGCACTCTAAGATATTAAGTGCAGGGCCACAGAGAAATTTAAAAGTGGGGAACAAAGTGTGTGGGGGGGAATACCACTGTTATCTCAAATTATGGAATACACCTCAAAAGCTGGCTTCAGCCTGGCCAGTGTGGCTCAATGGTTGGGCATGGACTCATGAACCGGGAGGTCACACTTTGATTCCTGGTCAGGGCACATGCCTGGGTTGTGGGCTCCATCCCCAATAGGGGGCGTACAGGAGGCAGCCCATCAATGAGTCTCTCTCATCACTGGGGTTTTTATCCTTCTCTTCCTCTCGCTGAAATCAATAAAAATATATTCTTTAAAAAAAAATAAGCTAGCTTCAAAGGAAATTTGCCCACCCCCACTTTGGAAGCGCAGGGGCACCATATCAGACACCGGTCTTCCAATGGCAGCGCCGCCCAGAACTCTGGCCACAGGCTCCTCTGAAGGGTCCAGCCTCTAACAGCTGTAATATCGGTAAGCACTCAGTGCAATGCTGGCGCCTCCTTCCCGCGGCATGAAATCCACGCTCCAGTCCCCGCC